CTGTTCAAACAACGGATCGACACCATGGCACAAGGGTGGTCACTCATAAGTGCTCCGTTCTCTTTCTAACTCAAACCTGAGGCCGAAGAGTCTCAGCGCAGTCTACGTACTCCGTAGTACCAGTGAGGATCCGGAAATACTTTGGGTAGATTTTTACCGTTAGCAGTTAGGCTATCCAATTGCCAAGGGAATTTTTAACGTGCGCAAAAAAAAAACCACAGGAATCCAATCTTACTACTCAGAGGTAAGCATACATTACTAGAAGTCCACATGAAAAAGTCCTAGGCCTTCACCCTGAACCTCCAGCACGCGAAGCAGACGCCATGCCCGACACCACTAAGAAAGTCGATAGATTCTGTGTAGACGAGTTTTGACAAAGATGGGCCCAAAAATAATCGATTACAGATGTTATGAGTTAGATTATCTTCACGGCACTCCGGACACAACCAGATAGGCACTTAGATTCCCCTCTCAACATATTCATCAGCGTCGTGCGGTTAACAGTGCCAGTCCTATGTTGGCTAACAAGAATTTGTGTGCGTCCGGTGTGCTTCTCGTGCTTGGCTGTGCCGATCTTTACTCCCAATTCGCGTATTCTTAGAAGTGATGTGGACACGTTGCTTCCAAAATATTTTTTTCCTTTTTTTGCAGGTTTCAGCTACACATTATATATCTATAATTTTCTTAATCTTACTCCCGCCTTCCTCCCAGGTGTTCTGCTGTAAAAAGTAGGGCTGTTCCGAATAGTGATTTTCATTATTCGGCCGAATACGAATAACGGGACTAACTATTCTGCCGAATACGAATAGTGTATAGTGTATAAAATATATCTTAAAAAAAAAACAATAACAACAACAACACAAAAACATTCATAATGTCAAATGTAAGCTGCACTTTTACTTCACAAAAATGTAAGACAAAACTGTATGGTAGACGAGAGGATATGGATTGCACGATAGCTTTCATAAAGGCTACCGGCCTCCTGATATAAGTTTTCTGACAGAAGGATCGAAGAAGACAAAGGAGAACTCGTCTCCATTCATCTCTCTGGCTGGCCTTCTCTTCACAATTTGTGACAGCAGTTGTTTGTAGGTCTGGCTGTACATTATCTCTCGAACTTCTTTTGTGTCTGCCTCGTGGTCTACGCCCATTCCTCTCTCAGGTGTATACAGTTTTTACTTCTCTGTCATCTGACATGCTTTCAGTATGCTCCAACCATTTTAGTCTGTTAGCTCTCATGATGCCAGTGATCAATGGTAATTTAAACAGATTATGTGTTACGTTGTTGCTTCTCACACTCCATTCCCCGCTGTTCGCATCTTTGATGGGTCCAAAGATTTATCGTAAGACTGTTTTCGAAAACCTGTAATAAGGCCTCATCTCTTTTATTTCTGCTTCAAGTTTCAGAGCCATATAAAACGACTGGTCTTATCAACGTTTTATATATTTTGATCTTGGTGTTGCGAGACAAGACACTTTGACTTTAGCAGATGTTGAAGGGCATAGTATACTTTATTTCTAGATTGTATTCTAGATTGTATTTCTTCTCTCAGCATGTTGGAGCAGTTGAAGTTTGCACCCAAGTACATATATGTATATATATATATATATATATATATATATATATATATATATATATATATATATATATATATATATATATATATATTGTCAGTTAGTTAGTTGGTTGGGTTATCATCATTGCACTCCGGATATGTCCATAGGTGCTCAGATTCTCCCCTCAGTATAAACCCCAATGTCCGATGGCTAATAGTACCAGTTCTATGTTGATAAACAAGTCTTCTGGCGTCTCGTTTTTTGCTATGCCGATCTTAATTCCCAAGTTTGCCATTCTGGCGAGTGATGTGAATTCACTGCCACCAAAGTCCTCTATCCTTCCCATTTCTTTGAGGGAATTGATAATATCAGCATGATCCATAGGCTGACCGTCGGTAGTGATAGCGGATCCAGACAACCTGTGAGCTCTTTCATTTCCATCAACGCCTGCGTGTCCCGGAACAAAAATAAAGGTGACTCCACGCACAGTGGACTTCTGTAATGATTCAAGCCATTGTCTTCGCACCGAACCTGCCTGAACCCTCCGGATCATACTCATTGAATATATATATGATTATGGAGAGGCATGATCGCTTACACCAGTCGGCAAGGCACTTGGTAATGATGATGTAGTCAATATCATACTTCCCCAAATACTTACTGGCACTCAATATTTGACTGGGTCGCCATGGATGCTAATGTTATTACATTTTTATCAGCACTAGAAGATTTGACCAAATCTACAGAAATTGGACACAAATTTTGAATGCCTGACAGAGACTAAACACAGCGGGTTTGACCAGATGGGATGTTTGGGACTGAAAAAGTAAAAAAAAAAAAATTTCCAGTGTGGATTTCCGGGCTCCGTTGTGTGGATAGGAAAAGGGGGGAGGGGGGGGGGAGGAGACAGGAATAGACCGATTGCTTCCCCCAACATGTATGTTGTAGGAGTCGATTAATGGGGTGCTTCCTTCGAAGTCGGACTGCATCTGCCGTAGAGGTAAGGAACGAAAACCTTTATATAAATAAGCCAGATCTATTTAAAAAAAAAACGGATTTGCAAGCAACAACTCATGTTCTGGAACAAGACTAAAGTTTGGAAGTGGACGAACAACCAGAACTTTCCGCCGGAGTTTACAGCTGGTGAAGGCGGTGAGGAAGAAGAACACAAAACTAGCACACTGGAAGGCCTGCCTGATAGACGTTGCCTCACTGCCTTCAAGAATTAACTTAAATCGGTCAACAACATGAACAACTGACAAGTTTGAAACGAGGCCAAACACAGAAAGAAACGGTGAGCGCACTGAAGATTTGACGGGAAGAATACGCATTCAGGGGCACCGGAACCCACCCCCGACCGATCCGATGCTTTGTTGGGAGGAAAAACCGTCAAGTCAAACTAGCATCCCCGAAGGGAAAAGGGGAGAAAGGGGGGGGGGGGGGGAGGGCTTTAGATTTTAACTGTGACTAGGTTCTGTGCGCAATTTAAAATGGCTTAGCATTGCACGTCACCAAAAGCCCTGAACTCCAGTAGTGTTGATGCGATCAAAGAAGACAGACCCAAATACTGACCCGACCGGCGACTAAGTCATCTACTGGCAAGCCAATAAGGACACTCAGTCGCCGATGTATGGAACCCACCCACACTTAGAAATATATAAGGGGACTGAGGGAAATTTCTTCTTCGCGTTTACCGACAATCACCTCCAGCGGAAAACTGGTTGTTCGTCCACTTCTAGACATCAGCCTTGTTGCAGAACTTGAACATCACATGCATAATCGTTTTACAGATGTGGTTTACGTGTGTGCAGCAAACACATTATAGCAATAACACACATGGAGTCTTTACAAATGTGTTTCGAGAAAGACAAACTCCACCCTATTGTCTATTATCCCATCATTTCAGGATACCAACAAGAGAAAAGATACCATCAACATAATGATCATGATGTACCGTGATGATAAGCGTAGGTTGTCGTGTTTCGCCATTTGCATGATCAGCAGAATCGCGATTCAGGTCAGTGTTCTCGTCTCCCTCTATCCGTATGGCTAAGTCAACCAGGCATTGATCTCTTTGCTCCCCCCTTGCTCCTTCTCAGTAATCTTTCCAATCGTTACAAAGTTCTCGAGTTCAATCACACAAATGAAGGCTGGCGAATCACCCATGTGAACATACTGGCACCTGAGACAACAGACCACGTCTTCCAAGAATTTCCCAAATACAGAATATCAAGGTAACACTTCTGACCAAGAGAAAATACTTGTGCAAGCCAAACTTTACGGGTAGTTGAATGAATTAAAAGACAATGAAGTTTATACTAGAGACAACATTGCATATAATCATCATCATTAGTTGCCTTGCTGACTGGCGTGGGCGATTATGCCTGTCTACAATCTACGATCTCCTGCAGCATGTATCAGTTCGTGTGCTGACACACCTCCATGCCATGCAACATGACTGTCAAGAATCTTCTCTTGTTGCCTTCCTCTATCCCTCCTTCCACAGATTTTTCCGGTGGTCACATGTTCCATTTTTCCTTTTCTTATAACATGGCCGAAAAATGATGACTGTCTCCTTCTGATGTCTGTGATAAGCTGTCTTCGGGCTCCCGCCTCGAAACATAACGAATAGCGAAAGAAAGAAGAAGAAATAATGGACAGCTGTGATCGCCTTAGCCAGCAGGCCAACAATCAAACAGGCAATCAGTCCAATATATCTAACTCCAAAATTTTGATTGAAATAAAACTTTTAAATAAACATATCCCAAAATAATAAGAATTTTTCTCACAAAAAGGATAATTATTTTATCTTAAATGTAATTCGATTCAGACGGCGACTGCAGACGGGAGGTCACATGACCTCGGATCTGACGTCACGTAGACACATTACTTTCCTTCCGCATGTTAAAATAGTAAAGAATCTACCAGAATTACTCCGAAGAATAACCCACCATTAACAATAAAATCGTTTTTAAATAGTAAAAATTATCATTTAAAGATTGAACGAATATTTTTGATTCGCGTGCCAAGTGATTGTAATATTTTCTGAAATAACATTTTCCAGCTGAGGCGAATTGATTTACAGACTTGACATGTACATATGGCCTTACAGGGAGGATGTGTCTACTAATGGAACATATCCAAGACTTATTTCATTTTAAATGTTTTGTTTCTTATTTACATCAGTGTTCTGAATGAAATGGATAGTGTTTTGCCTGGACAATCAGTCGTACTAGCTAGTACAGCCTGAAAAGTGACAGGTTAATTTTGAATCTATGGGAAAACAGACTATCAAAATGTAGTCGAGAGAGGAAAACCGTGGTAGTGTTTTTTAGTAAAGAGCGAGAATTCGTATTCTTCATTCAGTCGGAGATCTGATTGACATTATTCTTCAGTTTATGATGGAATATAAATTTTAGCTGGTCCATCGTTAATTTTGTCTCATGGAACATCGAGAACAGACAATGTCTTTGATGAACAGGTGAGTTTAATGTGGTACTGTAGCACAGGTTGAGTTGTTAGACCGATCGTTTGCTCGTGGGCAATGTCTGGTGTCATGTATTTCAATGACTATTTGAATTTCCATGTTCACTTTTCAGATCCAAAAACATTCTTTCAAAGATGTAGCAGACAGTCCCATTGAATATTTTTATTCTCATTACTGCTGCAGATTTGGTAAAGCCTAGGGTTAAGATCATTTGTTTGTTTGTTAGGGTTATTCAGCTATTAGTAACTTACAATAAAAATTTCACTATAGTAAAAGTAAATAAGAATAGTTAGTAGTTAATACTATTAGTAAATTTCAGCTCTCATGAATGGTTAAAATTCGGATACATTTATACCAAGTGTCCATCGAGTTCTCAGAGTATATATTTGTTATTTTATAGATAGTTAAATTATTTACATAGGATGAACATAATAATTGTTATGAATAGTTACTTACTTCTGTACTTTAAGTTAATAACTAGATGCTAGACCTTAAAACAGGGTATCTTATTTTAAATCACAGTCAGTTTTATGATGAATGCAAGATCTTATCCTCATGCAAGTTATATTTCTTCCCCCCCCCCTTTCTCACATGTCTAAAAGTCTTAATAAAAATTAAGTCTTAAAAGCTCGGGTTAATATCATAATGGAGTTAAAATATCAAAAATTTCCAGGACAGATATACATACACTATGAACTGTTTTACCACTATAATGGATATTATGCACCAGGTTAACACAATCTGTAGAGTCCAGTAAACATTTGTTGTCACTGTCAAGACTTTTACCATGTAGATTAGCGTTAGAAGTATTAGAGAATGGGAATAGGAGCCTTGACTTTTTGCAGTTTGGAGAAAAGCTAATTTGTTTAGTTTATAGTGCAGTGGTACTTTGACTTAGAATTGAATTTGTTCATGTCTATCGTTCGCATCTCAAAACCCAGTTTACCATTACGTCTCTTGGGAAATCAGATTATCCATTCTCAGATTATAATTTAAAATCACAATTTTCTTACCATCCCCAGGTAGTGGATGGCAGATTCTGCAGTAAATTTTTGTAAATACCTAGAGCTTTTAAATGCACTATCTGGTTTCAGTTGCATGTAATTAATCTTGAGGAGTAGTTAGGTTTCCATTTCTTCTTCTTCTTTTTTACCTCCTCTTTTACTATATTGGGTGTCTAGGGAGATATAAGGTCTTGCTTCGTGCTCCTCTGCCTGCTTCGGCCATAGGCACATCATGGTGCTGTAAAGTTTCTCTGATGTTATTGTCCCATATTGTTCTTGGTCTACCTCTTGCTCTACGTCCGTCTCCTCCATTTCTTACATAGTCTGATTTCTTCGAGATGCCATGCTAACCCTTTTGGCAATATCCAGTTATAGAAATTTGCTTTCTTCAGATTTGTAGCCATGGTGGACTCATTTTATAAGTTATACTGTTTGTACAAATAAACCTAATTGTCTTCTCAGATTTTTTCCAGTCTGTTTGTTAATTTCTATTGTGAATTGCTTCTTCTCTTTTGCCCTTCTTTTTTAGTTTTCTTTGAAATAGACTGCAATGGACAAATGAATGAACAGACAAACATGATTTTCAAACGGTTACAAATTGGGTATGCAGGCCCATCTTAGATTTTGCCCTTCTAAACATTCATCTTTCCTACTGCAGTTGTAAAATTTCTCTGAAGCTTCCTTTTCTTTATCTTTATAGGCTGGTCTATTTTAAAAGTTAGTCAATCAACAGATTATCCTCATTGCACATTGTCCATAAGCGGTCAGATCCCATCTTCAGTGTATCCCTCAGTAAGTGGCGACTGATTACACCGGTTCTGTGTTGATTTATTTCCTTCTTTGGCTACCTATAAAGTGTTTATGTTTGGCGGCACCTTTTTTAGTCCAAAAGAATACTTTGTTCTATATACAGACATGGTTCATAAAACAATATACAGCTATAAGAAAGAGCCAGTTTTTGTGTGTGTGATGAGATGAGAAGAGAGACATTTGAGAAAGTCATGATGACTGGAAAGATAGATCTACGGTAGAAGAAGCAGGCCAAGACAAAGATCTACAGTAGAAGAGGCTGGCCAAGAGAGATATCTGCAGTAGAAGAGGCAGGCCAAGAGAGAGATCTACAGTGGAAGAGTCAGGCCAAGAGAGAGATCTGCAGTAGAAAAGGCAGGCCAAGAGAGAGATCTACAGTAGAAGAGGCAGGCCAAGACAGAGATCTACAGTAGAAGAGGCAGGCCAAGAGAGAGATCTACAGTAGAAGAGGCAGGCCAAGAGAGAGATCTACAGTAGAAGAGGCAGGCCAAGACAAAGATCTACAGTAGAAGAGGCAGACTAAGAGATAGATCTACAGTAAAAGAATCAGGCCAAGAGAGAGATCTACAGTAGAAGTGGCTGACCAAGAGAGAGATTTACAGTAGAAGATCCAGGCCAAGAGAGAGAGAGAGATCTACAGTAGAAGAGGCAGCAAAAAAGAGAGAGAATGCTTGGCGGCCTGAAATGATGGCATGGTGGAATGTCATCTGTATAATAGGTTCAAAATATCAAGGACCAAGATCTGTGGATAAACAAGCATCTGTACTGCTGGGCAGGGCTCATAATGAAGAATTCATGTTTTGAAGTCTAAAACGAATGTTGATGAAAGAGACCAAATGTGCTGGGCTAGATTACCTCCATGATATTGAAAGGATCCCACAGGACAGAACAGAATTGTGATATTAAATGGCACAATGAGATGTTGAAATGTTATTCACAGAATGTCAACTGCTGACTAGTACTGTGCAGGAAAATATCTGATGCCTTCTCGTCTCATAAGATGTCTTAGCACAAGAAAACCAGATCCATCTGTTGTTTCTCATAATCCATCATTAATCAGCAGAATCATTACAGAAAGTCCCTTGTCATGGGACGCTTGAAAGTCTCTCTTTCTCTAGCTAGTTCTTCAGACCTATGTGTTATCATAGCCAGTGCATCTTCAGTGTCTTTTCTTTACGGAGGGTCGCTCCAGCCTTTTCCCCCAGAAACTATGCCCTCTATCATCGTTTTTTGTGTGTCTCAAAGCGACTATGTAGTTTAAAATGGCCAAAATGCCCTAACTCTCGGAACAGGATGTTTATGAGCCAGTTCTCCTCGATGTTCAGATGATCTTTCTTTAGAGTGATGTAAATGTGTTGTTTTTGTGTACAGCATAACTGCATTATTTATCGGCCGACATATCCAACTTCTTCGTTAATTTGATATTCACACAAAGTTAGCCTTCCTGTTAGTTTCATGGGACATTTGTCCCAAGAAGGCATGAATGTCAAGGGAAGCTACTCTGATCCTGGGCCTGGAAACGTGACCAGCACCATTCAAAGTTTCAGGGCTCACTATGGCCCAAGATTATATGGAAATACAGAAGGGTACCAACAAGATTTCCTTGTACCTTCTGTTGGTGTCTCCATTAAAGTGTGCATTTCCTTTTCTTTGGGGGCTCACTAAATCAACTTGGATTGAGTAGAGGCTCTGGAAGATATTCAGCACTGAGGGGGTAACATAGGCAGACTTAATCGTCTTGCAGCTGGTACTATTAGCATGTTGACTCTTTGTTGGCAGCTGAAGAAGGGAAAGGAACACATCTGGAAATGTGTCCAGTGCAGTGATATCAATACATTCGTTTCCGTTTATTCATTCTACTGCATATTTTTTTTTAGCAATCTCTAATCATGTACTCAGTCCACTAAGGGCAGTAAACTGGGATGTTAGCTCAAGCTGTTCTCAGAGCTCAAGGCTTAATGGTCGGCACATGTTGCTCCGGGAGAGGGCAGTGTTGCTAGACATGTTCTGGGGTTTGTTAAGCTCAAAGATGCTGGCAGACTCTTCGTTTTGCTGCTGAAGATGGGGACAGGGCGCTTATGGGGTGTCCCGAGTGGTGTGATGTCGATTCTTAATTAAACATTCCACAAAGATGCTGGCAGAGATCTGTTTTCCTTACCACGTTTGTATGAATGGTCTTTTTAAAAAAAAAATGTTTGTAATGTCTAATGGATAAGCCAAAATATGGTGACTTGGTCTGTTCTGTTGAAGTGTTCAAAGAAATGTTATTCGTATTTAGTGTTCGTTTTCTTGTCTGTTTTACTTCATGGTAGTTTTGAGTTATAGAAAGGATATAAGCTGGTAGATTTGTTGTTTCGCACTGCATTCCTTGGCTTTAGCATTAGCACTTTTATTAGTTTTGATACCATAGTGATATGGGGTCCACTGCAAGTAAGTTTCTGACCTGTTTGGTATACCACAAATGAAAGTCTAGAAACTACACATTCTTAGATGGTTAAACCAGGGAACCCAGAGTATGTTAATCTGTTACTCTTTGTATGACTCACATCCCTTTACTTTGACCCATTCTTATGTTACATCAACCCTGCTTTATGCATGCATATACATACATATATATATATATATATATATACAAATTTCTGGAGGTCTAGAGATGTGGTATCACTGAAGAATGCTAGGAATTCAATGAACAGCCAAGATAATTTGAAAGAGGCGAGCGCTCGAAGACAACTTATCACAAATATCATAAAGAGACAGTCAGCATTTTTTAGTCATATTAAGCAAAGAAGGAAACTGGAACATGTTGTAACCACAGGAAGGCGAGAGAGAGGAAGACAAAGCAGAAAGATTCTTGAGAGGCTTGTATCATGGCATCAGGGGGGGTGTCAGCACATGAACTGATACATGCAGATTGTGGAAGGCATTATCGCCTACGCCTGTCAGCATGGCACTTAGTGTTGAGAATGATATATATATATATAAATAAAAAAATATTACTAGAACTCCTTCTGTTTCAAAGCTATATTTTTCGGTTCAAATGTGAGTCGTGGACTATTTCTCAGTCCTTAAGAAAGAGAATAAGGGCTTTTGAGCTGAAATGCTATAGAAAGATTCTAAGAATATCTTGGACAAAGAAGATGGAGAAATATTGACGTCTTGAAAGATCTGAAATATTTTGGT